GACAAATTATTATTGCAAATTGTTCTCTATCAAAAAAAATTTTCTGGCAACTCTTTCAACAGATTTTCTTTGTTAATAAGCAGCAAAACTTAAGAAGTACACAATCTATTCACATCAAACCAATAAAAGATCATTTTTTTCATTTGAATTACCCATGTGAAAACGGTATGATGCAACTATGCAAGTTAATCATTGGTTTCGTAAAAGAGAAGTGTTTAATGTTAATGGAGCATTGTATGATCTGTTAATGCAATTTCAATGAGTCTTCATATAACGGAGTAGTACGTGTTAGAAGCTGAATTCCTTGATCCGAATTCAGATTTATCCAGTAAACCAGCTGATGGATGTTTAAAGGGATTCAAGTGTCCGTGCAAAAAAATAAACCCTCAAAGTTAATTTTCGTTTTATATTTACAATTGCATGGACAAAAGGAAATATAAAGTTATAAACTCTTTCTCTTCTTAATATTCTTTTTTACTCGCGCAATCTTAAATACGAACGGTTAATATTTTGTCTTAAAAAATGTTGTTAATGTTTTGATGTATATCCAATTGTGGAACCAAAACAAGCAGCGAAACCCAACTTTTAAAATCATACTTCATAAAAGAAGAGCTTGCAAGTTGCAATGATTAAAAGTTACAACATAAACTGAAATGGTTAAATACAACATAAATCTCGAGGGATGTTTTTTTCTAGATTCAAATTCCGTCTGACTAATGAAACTACCTCCATTTACCAATTAATTAAAAGTTAGATACTTATCTCTATAAGAAACCAATTAGTGAAACCTTCATTTGTCTAAATTCTTTTTTCTATAGATTTAGATTCCGTCTGACTAATTGAAACCTTCATTTATCTAAATTCTTTTGTGTTGAACTCCGATTTTAGTTGTTAGATAGTTCAGAGAACCTTCCTACGAAGTTTAGAGAATCCATATGTATTAACTAAGTATTATAAAACCTAGTAACTTCATAGAAACAACACGCTTAACTTTCAACACTATCAAACAAAGAGACGCGTTTCTTTTCTTTTTCTTCTTTTGTCTACTTTTACTTTTTAAAACTTTTATAATTACATATTCCTTTTTACTCACGCAATCTTACTTTTTTTCTTTCTATTTTCTTGCCCATTATTTTGTTTTCTAATAGCCTTTTGTTTGTTTTTGGGTTTGTAATTATTCCGATCCACTTTACATCCAATGTATTTGAGATATATTTAAAAAGATGGTACGGATGGACCCCACAAGATGACAAGACACTGAAAAGTTTTTGGTTATGAGGCTTTAGACGAGTGTCTAATATTATAAAATATACTTTCATAGTCTTTAATTATTCCCAACCGTGTGCATGCATGTCCTTACGTTTCCTGATGTGAAATCTAAATTATTGAAGTTCGTAGCCGCGATTTGAACACGACAATAGCAAAATGTACGATCAGCGTGAATCAATATCACAAACTTTTACCAAGTCGATACAACAAAACCATTGGATTACTATTCTCGTACTATGTTACTACAGAATACTACAGTAGTTAAGAGCTAAAACTACTACGACATTACTATTCACGCTATATTTTTTTTTTTTTTTTGCTAAATAGTAAATATTTTATTAGATAATGAAAAAGTTTTAGTTTTTTTTTTTTTGAAAAAAAAAGTTTTGGTTTTACAAACAGAATTTATAAAACCTAGCGTATGAATCCATGGCTTCACGCTATATCTCCACAATCATGATCTTACAAGCTGTTTGAATTGAGTCTTATACATAACTCTAACGATTGTGTTTTGAAGCTATAAACATTTCAAAAATTAAAAAATTTGTTTGGTGGGTGAAGTAAATCGGTAACCACTGCCAGATATATTTCCAGTATCGTGATTTATAATTTTGGTGAAATATCTTTAATATTTTTTCATATTTTCAGTAGAAATTTATTTATAGATTTTAACATGCATGTAACATAATGGTTTGTATTATATAGTGCCGTCATGACTTATGAGCCCTGCTCATGAGCATTGGCGGATGTAGCATAATCAAGGGAGTTGCAAGTGCACAACCCTTTATCAAAAAAAAGAGTTGCAAGTGCACCCATTGTTTTTGGAAGATTGAGCTTATTTGTATGGAACAATAATTATATTTGTATAAAACAAAAATATTTTCGTTTGGTTGCCAATTTAAAAATATTTTCGTTTTGTTTTCGGTTCGGGTCGGTCTAAAACTGTAATACCGTTTGGGTTTTAGGGTTTTTTAACTAATTTTATGATATTAATTTTGTTATTGAAAAAAGAGAAACAATTATAAAAAAAATTATAACTAAATTTTTACTTTCCCTCCTAATTAGATTTTTAATAACTTCATCTATTTTAATATTTTATCAACAATTTTTGTTGTATAAATTCGTTTCTCGTAATATTATGAAATACACCGAAAATTTTGAAGCCGAACCAAAATATAAATGGTTTTTATATGGTTTGAGTGTTTGTAAAACCTAAAAACCGAATTTGAAAAACTGAATCGTAACCAAACTGAAATACAAATGATTATTATATGGTTTGAGTTTTATAAAATCCAAAAAACCAAAAAAACCAAACTGTACCCGAACCAAAAACCAAAACACCCACCCATGATATTATTGATCACGTTTTGTCAATTGTTTCGAATGGTGACAGTGGATTGGGCGGTGCGGGTAAAAGATGTGGTGCGGTTCAAGTGCAGTGCGTTTTGGAGAAACGCATCATGCGGAATAAAGGCATGTTTGAAGTTGTTCAGGCGTTTTGAAGTGCGGGATGGATTAATGTCACCATTCACATAATTTTGTTGAGCGTCTTGTGTGTTTCAATTAACAATTAAAAATGATAAAAAATGATGTGTGGGCCAAGTGCGTTCCCTATGAAGAACAAAATGTTCTCCCGCACCACTGTTTCAATTACACTTCAAATTTGATGTGGTTTNGGTGTGACACCCGATCCCTGATCACTTTGAACCCTAGGTCTCGTGCCCTAACTTGCTCAACAAGCAACATACCTGCACAAACTAAAAGAGAAAAAGAGGGGTAAGTAATTNCGGGAAGAAATTACTCAGTGAGATTGCTACCCACAACAACTCTAATACTTGAAAACAATAGGCAATCAAACACATTAAACCAGACGTAAAACATGCATCACCCAACTTATTACTAGCAATATAACATTCACAACTAGCATTTCTACACCATAATCTCTTTTACTTATATATTAACTCATACTTAAACATTCCACTTTTCACATTTTCTACTTTTCTTTCCTTTTCACATTTTTTACTTT